ACACTTCTCTGTCTGGCAATCTGAAGGACATGTCTGGGTTTGGCAGTTTCCAGGAGAACAGTACTTGTCATCTGACTGCATTGTGCCAAGTGTAAAGTTAGGTGGAGGAGTGATTATTATGTGGGGTTGTTTTTCAGGGGTTGGGCTTGGTCCCTTCTTTCCAGTGAAGGGAACTCTTAAGTCATCAGCATACCAAGACATTTTCATGCTCCCAACATTGTGGGAACAGTGTGGGGATGGCCCCTTCCTTTTCCAACTTGACCACGCACCAGTGCACAAAGCAAGGTCCATAAAGACATGGATGAGTGAGTTTGGGGTGGAGGAACTTGACTGGCCTGCACAGAGTCCTGACCTCAACCCAATAGAACACCTTTGGAATGAATTAGAGCAGAGTCTGCGAGCCAGGCCTTCTCGTCCGACATCAGTGCCTGACCTCACAAATGTGCTTCTGGAAGAATGGTCAAGCATTCCCACAGACACTCCTAAACCTTCCCAGAAGAGTTGAAGCTGCTATAGCTGCAAATGGTGGGCCAACTCAATATTGTATCCTACGGACTAAGACTGGAATGCCATTATAGTTCATGTGCCTATAAAGGCAGGCATCCCAATACTTTTGGCAATGTAGTGTATGTGTGTCTGTATATATGTGTGTGTGTAATATATATATAATATATATATATATATATATATTATATAAATATACAATTTACACAGCGCACTCGCATTTGGCAAGTTGAAATAATGTGGTAAGTGTGTCCTAGAACACGGTGGGGGGGGGGGGGGGGGGGGTGCAGCGGGCAGCACCACTCAGGAATACGGGGAGGGGTTGTGGTCGATTTCTCTTCCCAGCCTCTGCCCCCTGAAATTCTCCTGGCTGGAGCTGCCAAAGTTAACTTCTCCTTTTATCAAGCAGGTGATTGGATGCTCGGACCGCCTAGAGCCAATCACCTGCTGGTTAACTTGAAAAGTTAACTCCAGCAGCTCTCGCTCCCCTGTCCAGTGCTGTGCTCCACTGCGTGTAAGTCCCTGCATTTTAACTGTTTGCTGTCTGTGTCCTTGGGGATGTGAAGGGGGGGGGGGGGTAGATGACATGTCTGTAGGGGGAGAGGGATTTGAAAGGGAGTAGGGGACATGGGTGGGGGTGTGAAAAGGGGGGTAGTGGACATGGCTCAGTGGGGTGTGAAGGGTGGTAGAGGACATGGCTGTGGATGGGCAGGGGGGGGGGGTAAAGAACATGGCTGTGGGGGGTATGTGTGAAAGGGATAGAGGACACGGCTGTGCGGGGTGTGTTGGGGGTGGAAATAATTTGAGGGAGTGTTTACGGGCAGAATTAGGGATGGGGCAACTGGTGATATATATATATATATATATATATATATATATATATATATATATATATATATATATATATATACAGTCATGGCCGAAATTGTTGGCACCCTTGATATTTCTCCAGGAAATCATGTATTTCTCACGAAACGTATTGCATTAACACATGTTTTGCTATACACATGTTTATTCCCTTTGTGTGTATTGGGACAAAACAAAAAAAGGGAGGAAAGAAAGCAAATTCGACATAATGTCACACAAACCTCCAAAAATGGGCTGGACAAAAGTATTGGCACCCTTTCACAACTGCGGATAAATAAGAATGCTTTTACAAGCATGTGATGCTCCTGTAAACTCACCTGGGGCAAGTAACAGGTGTGGGCAATATAGAAATCACACCTGAAAGCAGATAAAAAGGAGAGACGTTCACTTAACCTTTGCATTGTGTGTCTGTCTGTGCCACACTAAGCATGGACAACAGAAAGAGGAGACGAGAACTGTCTGAGGACCTGAGAACCAAAATTGTGGCAAAAATATCAACAATCTCAAGGTTACAAGTCCATCTCCAGAGAACTAGATTTGCCTTTGTCCACAGTGCGCAACATTATCAAGAAGTTTGCAACCCATGGCACTGTAGCTAATCTCCCTGGTCGTGGACGGATGAGGAAAATTGATGAAAGATTGCAACGCAGAATAGTCCGGATGGTGGATAAGCAGCCCCAAACATGTTCCAAAGACATTCAAGCTGTCCTGCAGGCTCAGGGAGCATCAGTGTCAGCGCGAACTATCCGTCGACATTTAAATGAAATGAAACGCTATGGCAGGAGACCCAGGAGGACCCCACTGCTGACACAGAGACATAAAAAAGCAAGACTACAGTTTGCCAAAATGTACTTGAGTAAGCCAAAAGCCTTCTGGGAAAACGTCTTGTGGACAGATGAGACCAAGATAGAGCTTTTCGGTAAAGCACATCATTCTACTGTTTACCGAAAACGGAATGAGGCCTACAAAGAACAAAACACAGTACCTACGGTAAAATATGGTGGAGGTTCAATGATGTTTTTGGGGTTGTTTTGCTGCCTCTGGCACTGGGTGCCTTGACTGTGTGCAAGGCATCATGAAATCTGAGGATTACCAAAGGATTTTGGGTCGCACTGTAGGGCCCAGTGTCAGAAAGCTGGGTTTGCGTCCAAGATCCTGGGTCTTCCAGCAGGACAATGACCCCAAACATACGTCAAAAAGCACTCAGAAATGGATGGCAAAGAAGCGCTGGAGAGTTCTGAAGTGGCCAGCAATGAGCCCAGATCTAAATCCCATTGAACACCTGGTGGAGAGATCTTAAAATTGCTGTTGGGAAAAGGTGTCCTTCCAATAAGAGAGACTGGAGCTGTTTGCAAAGGAAGAGTGGTCCAAAATTCCGGGTGAGAGGTGTCAGAAGCTTATTGATGGTTATAGGAAGCGACTGATTTCAGTTATGTTTTCCAAAGGGTGTGCAACCAAATATTAAGTTAAGGGTGCCAATACTTTTGTCCAGCCCATTTTTGGGGTTTTGTGTGACATTATGTCATATTTGCTTTTCTGCCTCTGTTTTATATTTGTTCCAATACATACAAAGGGAATAAACATGTGTATAGCAAAACATGTGTTAATGCAATACCTTTTTTGTGTGAAATACTTGATTTTCAGGAAAAATATCAAGGGTGCCAACAATTTCGGCCATGACTGTATATATATATATATATACATACATACACACACACACACACACACACTGGGGTTGATTTACTAAAATGGGAGCAGCTGTCCATGGAAGCCAATTGGCTTCTAAATTCAGTTTGGACAATTAAGCTTGGACAATAAAACCTGGAACCTGATTGGTTTCTATGCAGAGCTGCACCAGTTTTTGCATTCCTCAGTTTTAGTAAATGAACCCTTGTGTGTGTGTATGTGTTTATATGTGTACATATATATATATATATATATATATATATATATATATAAAATAAATATAAAATATCCTTGTGCCTGAAAACTTTATGGATCTAGGAATCATTAGAGGGAAAAAAGAACAGTCAGCGGGTTGAATATGTGAGTTAAGACATGCAGCAGGCACAACATAAACCCTGGATCAGTATCTGCTACCTGGGCTCTAGTATGGCTGCACTGATACTGTGAGATAAGGACAAGGATGCAGAGTACAGAGCCAGATCTAGTGAGAGTGGGAAGCCTTGGCAGCAAAGCCTGTGGGAGAGAAATCACCCAGAGGACTAGAATTGGAATCAGGTAATTGAATCAGTGAGAGAGAAGTAACGAGGCCCTGTGCACATTTATTCCACTCACTGCCACACAGCAAACTTTGCCTTTTAATTTCCAGTCACGGAAGATGGCTTTAATTTTAATATCTGCTCTGCTAAGGTATTGCCTTTCAAAGTGGAACTGTCATTTGCAGACAGCTTAGGTAGCCATCTTGTTATTAAGTCCTCGTTCAGGACAGTGATGTGACCAGTGGTATCCACAGAGTAGTTCTTAGTAGAGTGGGCAAGTACAAGTATTCAGGGAAAATGCCACCACAAAGCATGTTTCTTGTATTCAAAAGTCTGGTCTTCCCTGATCTCATTTGATGACAAGTCTGGACTGGTAATAGCTGCAAATGTACCCACAATGGTTGCTTTTTACTCCAGGCGGTGTTAACACACAGCAGCCATCTTGGGGGCACACTGAACACGGTATAGGAAGTACTGGTTAACCACTTCAATACCGGGCACTTTCACCCCCTTCCTGCACAGGCCAATTTTCAGCTTTCAGCGCTGTTGTATTTTTTGTGAAAATTAGGCTCGGTTCACACTGCCGAAACTTGGGATCCAACTTGTGAGACCCCAAGTCACATGACATGTTAGTCAATGAGAGCTGTCATAATTAGCACTACTGAAGTCGCTTCGACTTTTGAAAAGGCTCCTGTACTACTTCAAGGCGATTTCTATCCGACGTGTGCCCATAGAGTTTAACGAAAGTTGCCTCTGTCGAATCCTCATCTATATTGATGTGATTTGGATCTAACATGACAGGAAGATTACCCAGGCAAAGTCACATGGCATTAAATTGCACATCAAGTCGCATCAGAGTCGTACTCCAGTTGCCAGGAAGTCGCCTGGTAAAGTTGCACCACTTTCAGGTTGCAGTAGTGTGAACCAAGCCTTAGTCATGCAACACTGCACCCAAATGAAATTTTTATAATTTTTTAAGACACAACTTTCTTTTGGTGGTGTTTAACCACTTGCCTACTGGGCGCTTAAACCCCCTTCGTGCCCAGGCCAATTTTCAGCTTTCAGTGTCTATCACACTTTTAATGACAATTGCAGACTCATGCAACACTGTACCCATATGAAATTTTTATCATTTTTTTGAGACAGATGGTGTTCTTTTGGTGGTATTTAATTACCTTTTTTTTATTTTTTGCTAAACAAACCAAAAACAACTGAAAATTTTGAAAAAAAAAGTTTTTTTGTTTTAAAATTTTGTAAATAAGTGATTTTTCTCCTTCACTGATATGCGCTAATAGGCTGCAGTGATGGGCACTGATAGGTGGCACTGATGAGGAGGCATTGGTAGGTGGCACTGATGGGCATTGACAGGCATCACTGATGGGCACTGAAAGGCAGCACTCATATATGGCACTGATAGGTGGCACTGACTGGCACTGATAGGTGGCACTGTCTGGCACTGATAGGTGGCACTGTCTGGCACTGATAGGTGGCACTGTCTGGCACTGATAGGTGGCACTGTCTGGCACTGATAGGTGACATTGAAAGGCAGCTCAGATGGGCAATGATATGTGGCATTGATGTGCACTGGTAGGCACTGATATGTGGCACTGATGGGCACTGGCAGGTGGCACTGCTGGGGCTACACTGTTCATCAGGGCACACTGATCATCAGTGCCATGATTATCAGTGCACATGTCCCCTCCGAGGAATGCCGATTACCGGCTCTCCTCTCGCGCTGTCAGCGTGACAGCTCGTGAGGAGAGAAATGCCGATAACCAGCACTTCCCTATTTACATGCGATGAGCTGTCATTGGACACAACTGATCACATGACCGAGCCAAAATCTTCTGCTCTTTACGTTGATCGGTGATCCGTTGTGTCCGAGGGACACAGCACACCACCGATCACCGCGCTGCGCACTCCCGGAGCCGCGCACACGAGGTTAGAGTGGGAGGACGTCATATGACGTCCTCCCAGAACGAGAGAACCGCCTTGCGCCCGTCATTGCCTTATTTGGCGGGCGGGAGAAGGATAATAACTACTTTTTCTTTTTTTTTGCTATATAAACAAAAATTACTGAACACTAATTGTATCTTTTGCAAATAAATATTTTTTCTTCATACATTTAGGCCAAAATATGTTCTGCTATATTTCTTTGGCAAAAATAACGTAAATCAGTGTATTATATTCAGTCTGTATGAAACTTATAGAATCTACACATGCTGGCGTGCTCCCAAGCTGGGCTATGTGCATCTATGGACACACGCAGCACAGCTTGGCCACTCCCCTCACTCTCCTCACAGGATTTGATTGACAGCAGCAGGGGCCAATGGCTCCCGCTGCTATAAATCTGTCCTATCAGAGCAGGATAAGAGACCAATGCTGCTGCAGATGGGCACAGTGCTGCTAGGAGGATACATTCTGGTTTCACCTATGTTCACTGCAGCTGCTGCTCTTTACACCACTGGCTGCTATCCTGACTGTCCTGGTACACGAGCTCCTGTATTAAATTTGCTGTAAGTGAGTTTCTTATTTTGTCAATTAGAACGACTTTTACTACCCCAGACCCGCTCCCTTTGTCTCTGTTAATCGTTTGCAGCTAGACTGGCCCTGTGGTCTCTGCATTACATGTACAGGGGAGATAAGTTTCCAAGTGCTGACCTGCCTAAGGCTAGGTTCACTCCTATGCAGTTTGCACTTGAGCCATTTCTGCATTGTGTTTTGCGGTTTTGCCACGTTTTTGATGCATTTTGCGCTTTTGAAAATTTTTAAAAAAATTTTCTTGTTGCTAGGCAGATTTAAAATGCGGCAAAAACGCCTTAAAAACACACTTCGTGCTTTTCTGCCGTGCTTCCATTGAAGTCTATAAAACCAAAAACGCAACTTTTTGCATTCAAAAATGTCGCTGACCCTTTCCAAAAACGCACCAGGTGAAAACGCGGAGATGTGAACGTGTCCCATAGGAAATCATGGTAAATGGACTGCAAAACGCGAAACGCTGCGGGAAATGGTGTGAGCCTAGGGTAAGCAAGCATTCTCTGACTGTACAGCTCTCTGTAATAGGTTCACACTATATAAATAAAGCCTAATAATGCCTTGTACTATTAATATTTAACTATTGTGCTCAGCACTTCCTAATAGTATGAGGCTGCTAGTTATTGAAGTGCCAGCAGATTGTTCTCAAAGCTGGATGCAAGCCACTTAGTCATGGTTGCAGCTCCTGGCTTTTGCGGCAGTGATGTCCCTAGTGGAGGAGTTAATTGAATTATCAAACTAAGCAAGCAGCATGTATGAACGTGTTGCTGACTGTATGCAGTGAGATAAACCACAAGGGAACAAACCATGCACAGTCCCTGGATGGATGACGGAAGAGGAATCTCCTCCCATATCGCCATCCACATTTACTCACACACTGAGAAGTGCATCCTGGTTTGTCTCATTTTGTTTCCAGCTGGAATGCGCTATTGTAAAGTACATGTTACCCAAATGACTTAAATCTCTGATAAGCTATAACATGTTCATCAAATTTAAAACTTTTTTTTTAAATTATCTTTAAAATCCGCATTTTAAGGCTTTAAAATCGTAAATTTACATCTACAATTTTTCTCTGCATTTAAAATATTATACAGTTAGGCTCCATGCACACTAGACAATTGCACGGTCATGCAACACTGTACCCAAACTAAAATTCTATAATTTTGTTCACACAACTATAGCTTTCTTTTGTTGGTATTTAATCACCGCCGGGATTTTTATTTTATTGCTAAATTAACAAAAAAAGACAGAAAATTTTGAAAACCCCCCCCCACATTTTTCCTTGTTATAAAAGTTTGCAAATAAATAATTGTTCTTCATAAATTTAGGCCAAGATGTATTCTGCTACATTTCTTTGGTGAAAATAACCTAAATCAGTAATTATTATTTAGTCTGTAGGAAAGTTATAGAGTTCACAAACTAAGGATATATGCAGTATCTGAAAATTGATCAATCCTGAAGTACTGACAGCCAATCTAATTTCTTGAGGCCCAAAAATGTCAAAACAGTACAGATATATCCCAAAGTACCCCTTTTTGCAAAGTAGACAGTCCGACGTATTTCATAGGAGGCATGGTGAGGTTTTTGAAGTTGTAATTTTTTTGTCATAACTTTTCGGAAAATTAAGAAATAAAAAAAAATAATTTCACAATTGTTTTTACATACTGTCACCAGTGCAGTACAGCGTCATAATATAACTGGTGTGGCGGTGATCAGGGACAATGACTAGTGAAAGTACGGAAAAAAAGATCATTTTTTTTATTTTTTAATAATTTTTTTCTCTTTTTAGGATTATTTTTTTTCATATTGCACTATGACTAAAGTAATATAATGTTATAATTTTTTTTTTTACACAATTTTATTGATTATAGCAAAGAATTTTTTTGCTATAAGCAAGCATTTAACTGAATGAAATCGATTCATTCAGGTTTTTTTGTTGTGATTAGCTGTGATTGGCCACAGCTAATCACATGACACAGATGAACTGTGATTGGCACAGCCTGTGCATGTGATCGCTGTGACCACTCACAGCTAGACACATGAAAGGAAGCCATGCATTGTATACAACTGTCATGTGACCTGCTGTGATTGGTCACAGTAGGTCATATGGTATTGGCAACGGGGCCGATACACAGATCTGTCGAGGTACACGGCCAGTAACAGATCTTGCCGCAGCGCAGCCATGCGGGCATGCGCGATCCGGGAAGGACGCCATATGGCGTCCTCCCGGAGGGATGAGGTTTTCGCCCGGCTGCTATTTGGCCATAGGCCAGGCGGCAACTGGTTAATAACGCTGGTAACGTTAGCTGTGTAAAGTCGCGTTAAAAATGGGAGTTTTTCCAGCATGTTTTAGTTTTTCTGTATTAGCGTTTTGCCACGTTTTTTAGCTGTTTTTAGTGTTTTTTTTTCATGTTTGTGATTTTTAGAGTTTTTTGTACCTTTTTATCTTTTTTAGAGTTTTTTTGTACCTTTTTATTTTTTTTGTGTTGCGTGTTGTCACTTGTTATAGGGTCCTGTCTTTTAGCTGTGCTACTGCGTTGTCACCTACCCCTGTTACATGAAGACTGCAAGTGGACATTTCAGCTCTCAGTATTCAGGCATGGTCCATAGTAGTCACCATCTCCAAATGTCATCTAGGCAGCTCTGGAATGCATGTAGGCAGGAAGTGGATCAAAAGAGGCTGGAGTAGAACAGCAGCACCTAAATACAACAAAGAATCCAAAAGAGGTCAAAAGTATTATATAAAAAAAAAAAAAAAAAAACATAGAGCAGTTGTTTGGTACACAATGGTTTAGTAAATTAAATGTCTTTCTTTTAGAGCTTACTTAAGGTAGGGGTTCTCAGCCTGTGGCCCTCGTAACCCTCTGATGTGGCCTTCCACCACAAACTGAATACAGGAGTTTTGGTGCACTTTCAGAAGTGCACCACATTCTCAAGATATAGTAGAAGTCTATGGCAATGCGCAGCTAACCCAACCTGCACTGCACCTGGGGTGAGGGTAAACCGCAGCACATCAGTGTGAAAGGAGGGTTATATGGGGCTCAGGGCAGTAAGGGCTCATTTACATTTGTGGTTTGGGGGGCAGTAAAAAAATCTTTTTTTTTACAACATCTCCCAACACCTGACCCATGCTCCAGGCCTCTCTCTCACATTTTTTTCTACACTTGGATCAGGAGGGGTGGTATTTACAGGAACCGATCCTCTCCATTTTCCTCCTGCAATCGCTTATTATTATAATTATACAGGATTTATATAGCGCCAACAGTTTGCTCAGCACTTTACAATATAGCAGGAGACAATACAGCAACAATACAGTTCAATACAAGAGGGTTAGGAGGGCCCTGCTCCTTGGAGCTTACAATCTAAGAGCTTAAAGCCAGCTTCTCCTCCTCTTCTTACCACTGGCATGCAGCAGCTGCAAGAGGAAAATGTTCATTGTGCTTTTGAAATTTAAAAAAATTTGATATTCTGATATTCCATTTCATTGTGGCCTGTGACCGGTTTGCAAATCTGTATGTGGCCATCACTCGTCAAACGTTTGAGCACCCCTTACTTTAAGGGATGTACAACTAAATGGATAATAGTGTGTGAACTCTAAGTAAATTTGCAAGGATGCTTAGTAAAAGGGCTGATGATCAAACGGACTGTAAGTAGGTAAATTGGTGTGACACTAATACCATGCAAACAACATAGAAAACTTTGTTCATGCAATAAAAATCTTCAATGACTGCTCCTAAACATATATGTAATTGTAGTAGCTAGGGCTGGAATATGATGCCTAAAGGTACCCATAGGTACAAGGTGATCATTGTCCACACCCAGCCACCTGTTATACTTACCTGAGCCCTATCTTGATCCAGTAATATGCATGAGAGCAGAAGCTCTCTTGGCTCTCTCCCTCCTCATTGGCTCAGGCATAGCAGTAGGAGCCATTGGCTGTCAATCACAGCCTTTGAAGAGGGAGTGGAGTGGGGCTCAGCCAGGCTGCGTGTGTCTTATGGACAAGCAGAGTGGGGCTCAGGAGCCAGCATGCACCAGTGCCCCCATAGCAAGCGGCTTGCTATGGTGGGCACTTAGCAGGGGGAGGGGCCAGGAGCACTGACAGGGGACCCGAGAAGAGGAGGATTGAGGCTGCTGTATGCTAAACCATTGCACAGAGCTAGTAAGTTTGATGTGTTTGTTATTAAAAAAGTATATCCTTTACAATCACTTCAAGGTAAAAAATGTTTAGGCTTTATAACCACTTTGCACGCAGCCGCTCTTTGGGTATTTTATAGCTAGAATGCCTGGCTGTCCAAATACAATAGCAGCAGGAGATTTGTCCATCTGTGCCG